CCTTAAAAGGTCTAATTCGGTTATAAATATTTTTCGGTGAAACGAACAAGGTTCATGTTTGCCTTATTTGGTCCTGTGAATTTCTAAAAAACTGAAAGCTGCATAGTTTTAGTTAACAATGCACTAAAAATTACTTAGATCTTTGGTGACTGCATATCTATAAAAAATGACGTCACTTTCTGAGTATTCAAGGCATTATGACGTCACGAAATGCGTCAATTTCCTCCTATTTTGAAAAAGTCTACAAAAATGGCCAATTTTTAAAACTATTTTGTTATATTTAATATAGAGCGCAACCTCTGATCTAAAATATGCAACTAGTAAATGATAGAACTGTTTCTGATGATTAATGGACATGTTTTATTTTATAGATCTCTCATATTATTTTTCTTCACTGAAAGTACTCAATTATACCTGTTAACCTAAAAATTCAAGAACATTGCATAAAGCCAGTTCCCCTAGACCTGGACTTTTAGAAGATTTTTTTAATAGGATATGAAAGCACCACGTCTCTTTTTAATTTTAATGCTTCAAATAGAAAATGAGTTGTAGATCAATCAGTTGGTATATCTACAGTGCCATTTAATGCACAAAGTGAACAGACTTCTGTTACTCGCATGTGAAAGAAAACGAAAAATTCGTTAAACGTCATCAATATGTTGAATGTGTTCTGAAGTTCCTTTTTTTCTCTACAGCAGTTTTTTTGTTAAGAAACACCATTTTTTGATTGTGTATATTTTTTGTGGCTTGCGTTTTAACATTTTACCTTTGTTGAATATATGCGATGTTTTAGCATTTAATCAATAGAAATTTCCATACATGAAAACCAATCACAAATTAAATATCAGGAAGCGATGGATTTTATCATCAATTTTCATCAATAAAATATATATTATTGATGACTACAAATGTAAAGAGGACATCATGTGATATAAACTGCATGTCATAAGTGGACAACAGTATAATAGCAGCAAAGAATTAAAGCTTTTATATAAGTTAAAACTGCCTTGGAGAGCTTTTTCAGTGGAATACTTATGAATATTTCATATACACAGTTAATTAAAAGGCAGTGAGATAGAAAACTTCTTTTTATCATCATAATAAGTCTTTTGTTTGTGTAAATTCAATGAAAATTAAAGCGATTACAAGTATTACATAACGATTCTAACAGTATGTTAGTATCAAGAAGAAAAAACATGAAATTTCACTTGACTAAGTATAAATGTAAATATTTTGTTGTCCATTTAGTATAATAGCTAAATGTAAATAGATTGCACTGGTAAAGAATTCACTTAATTGAAAGAACTTTATTCGGTAATAACCAATATCTGCCCCCTAAATCAAACATTGATGGAGATATATTTAATTAAGTTCTTAAACAGGGGGGTATATGCTGACTTCAAAGCACTGAATATTTTCATAAGTAATGACGTCATTTGTACGTAATGACGTCACAAACATGGCGTAAATTTCAATTTTTTACGAATTTTACTTAAAAATGTACATATTTCGTCGATATTTTGAATAAAAATTACCGAGCGCATGTGTGTTCAGGATCAATATTTTAATATAATGTGTAGAATGATAATATCAATGAAATATGTCAATATTGTTCCTGAACAAACTTGCGCTCTATAAATTTTAAAGCTAAAATTGTTGAAATTTTGTCCATTTTGTCCTCTTTCTGAAAAAAGATACAAAATCGGACTAGTTTGTGACGTCATAAAAACAAAAATTGTAAATACACTGCTTTGAAACTATAATATTTTCTGTTAATTTATATTTCTCATACAATTTATTGAATTCAGCACATTTCAGGAAGTTTTCAAAATTTGACTTTTGTGGGGGCAAATATATGCAATATACCGCATATAGTTCTTTATACAAGAGGAACTGTGAGAACTGAGCTGATTAAATAATACCCCCGCCTCCCATAAGAGAATAGTTGTAAAGTCTATGACCGGAAAAAAAGGGAAAACTCAGATCAACATTTAACAGGAAGACACAATGACTGTGAAATTATCTACATTTTGTTCCGTGGTGTAAAAAAAAGTTTTGGATGAGATATAGGTACTCTTCAAAATTTTAGCATTAATTCATCTGTAACTATGTGTGCAAAAAATTTGAATAACACTCCGTATTATAATTAGTTCTGAACCAATTTTTTGCAGAAAATTATAATGCTTATATCTACATTTTTATTTTTTTACTTTTAATAATATAAATGTACATATACATTTAAAAATAACTGTTTTTCCCTCGGGTAAGTTAATTTTTTTTTAACAACCGAAGCATAGCAATAGTTTCTGTTCAATGTGAAAGTAAATTTTTGGCTTCTGACGTTTCCCTTTACGGCGTTGAACGTTTGTGAAGCCAAAGCTAAACGCATATTTTAAACGTTTGACCCCTGTCTGTGTTATGGTTTTTACTATACGCAAAATGCATGTTGAACTTTTATCTTCTTGAAAAAAATAGCAATATTCATGTTTGTTATGGGATATCCAAAATACGAGGGTTGATCCAAAATTTCGTGGACTTTCTCGTGACATGATAAAAACAAGCATTAGACATATTTATGAAATGGAGCCAATTTGATATTGTCATGTTAATGACCAAGCTTATGGGATGTTGATCCAAACTGCCCTTCTAATTGATTAATTTACAACAAAATTTTCTTTAAATTATAAACATTACATTTAATAAATCAAAATATACAAAATAAACTGGATAACTGTCAGTGTTCAGCTGGGCGATGACGTGCATTGTCCTTAATACGGATACAATTGGTCTCAGGACTGGTTTGGAAATCCTTCCTCCTGTCCTACTGTCGTGGAGGCCTGCACAAACATACACACACAATGTAAAGGTAAACGTCTTGCGCTCAAGACTCTAGATGTGGCCGTGTCTGGTACAGGGACATCTACACACACAGGATGAGGACCTGTTGATTACGCATGCACCATATAATGTCAAGGTAGACATATACTTTACACACTGTAAGTTTAAACTGTGCATACACATGTACTATGGCGTACAATAGCATAAAGATGCTTTACTACAAATCACACCTTTAGTTTACACTTTGTAACAAATATTACAGAACGAATCACATACTAAAAGACACGAACGGGAAACCGTACAATCATTACTCGAACACTTTTGACTAAATGTACATATAAATAACGTATAAAGAAATATAAAAGATGATAAATCTCAAATAGCAAAACGGTTAAGACTGACTATGTTGAGAAATTCCGAAACTGGCTGTTATAAGATATTTACAGCATTGGCATTTTAGTTAATAATAAAAACAAGGCTTACCTCAGAAAAGTAGGACACTACATATTGACAATTACGGCTATGCTATGGTGAAGTCTGCAATGACTATTTTATTGCACAAAATGTACCAAAATCTAGAGAAGTATAGGAACGTCCTTCTCTATCAGGACTGCCGTGCCCAACTGCCGCACGGACTCAAACCTACTTTCAAGGTCCAGTGATCTGAGGCTTTAAAAGGATTAAAAATGTACACAGTGAAAAACGGAGGCTCACCACTGGATAATAGAATTTTGCCTGCACGTTCAAATATAGCAATTCAAATAGATTTAGATTTTAATGTGACAGATACAATACTGGAGATTTTCACTTCTTTCCAATGAACCATAGGGTCATAAGAGATTTCTGAACATGGGCAATTGTAAAATCCGGGGGAGATTTCGTAGTAACGTCAAGTTAAGTATGTGACGTCACGTTATGAGAGCAATCCGTCCTCACTTTCTGCAGATAACTGCCCTCTCACTTTATTTCTATTCCCAAGAAAACCAGGTTTTCTCTCACACCCTCTAATCTTCATATTACAGTTATTTTCCAAATACTAAGCATCTTTATATAGAATGTTTCGATCTCAGATGCATTTTTGTAAAGAGTACATGTACATTGTTGGCGCTTAATTTGTGAACGGGGAAAAACGAACTTCCAAAAGGCGGTGGCACTTTTAATCAACCTTCATGGAGGTTCTTTTTTCCTTAATTGCTTACGCCAATGGAAATACGGTTACTTACATCATTTTTGTCAGCGTGTACCAATATTATAATATTGCATTTATTTCAGTATTTTAGCATTTCCTAGATTTTCGGAAAACTTATAAATTGACCGAATTTGGACGTTGACTAACAATGTCACGATTAACAACAAATCAACGAATCATTAATTGATAAAATAAGCCATATTGTTAAAATCAGGAACTCCGGGAGTAGGGCGGGGCCACAAAAGAGAATCGGAGTTTTGCATTGAAATGTATAGTAAAAGGCCTTCTTCTCAAGAGTCACTGTATCAGAAATGCTGGAAATTATATGTAACTATCCTTGGGAAGTGAAGATTCTCAAATATTCTTAAAAGGAGTACAACTCTTATATACAGACGTTTATCAAAGATCTTAATTTTTTTTAATGCGTTTTTCCTCACATTTAGAAATAAAAATTGAAATAATTTAAGAAAATTTTAACATATCCTTTTCTATAGTAACTGAGTTTTACTATCAGTAATATTTAAAACACCTTTTATTCAAACATTCAAAAAGTGTATATTTTTTGTAATTTTCAATCACTGTCACAAATACATTAATAAACTAGTTTTTGCTAATAGATAAACTAAAAATGTGTTCAACAGCACTGTGTATTAATTCTCTAAGAAATTTTCATTAAATTTCATGAAGTGTTATAAAAGGTGTTGAGAATCAGAGATGGGTACACCAAAGTTTTACAGACGAAACTATGAAAGACAAATGGACGGCATTTTTATAATATTCAACGGACATTTTTTAAAACAAGGTTAAGGGTATCATTTTCAGATTTAGTCCAAGTAAAGATTCAGTCATTCTTGTTCTCCAATCGATCTATCAGAGATAGTAAAATACGTAACAATCAGCCAATCACTGGAACGCAATGCACTTAGGCTTTGATATTTATACCCGCTAGCTGGAAGATAAGCTCGCAATTTCTTTACAGAAACCGTACAACTGGTGTAATACACAAAGAACAATTAACATGAGCAATCTTCTGGTTGTCTTTTTAATTGCTGCCTGCTTAACAGTGCCTCTGTCTGCCATGTTTTCTCGGAGATATGCCAGAAGCGTGGACTTTGACGATAAAAAGTCAGATGACGAACTTTTAGGACAGTATTCTATATCGTTCAAAGACTGTGCAGAGAAGTGTCAGAAAGATTGCGGCGTCTTTGGATTTAATGATAGATTAAAGAAGTGTCGGCTCCACAGGAAACTCAACATGTCGTCAACTACAGAAGAAGAGAAAGGGTGGAGATATTTCTTTCATGATTGTACGTATTACTTTTTATTATAAAAAATTTAAATCACTTAAAGCACTAGAGATAACACTGTTGGTATAACATGCTTCATTTGTTTTTTAAATGTATATATCCCTAATAGCACTACAAATTGACTGCTGACGTTCATTACACTTCATTTTACTATTATTGAACTATGATTGCACTTATATACCGGTAAGTTCGAAGAGATAATTGCAAAAGAATAATTTCCCAGTATTATCAAAAACAGTAACTTATTTATCATATTTTTTGTCTAAGATTTAGCTTTCTCCCCCTTTGAATCCTATATGGCATTTTATTTTATGTAACTGATTTTTAAAAAAATTTATAATTATGATTTCGAATGTTATTTGTTATGTTTTGTTCTTAATTTTCAATATTTTCTCTATAGTTTTGACAATATCATCGAAAAAATAATTCAAAGATACTCTGTATAATTTTTATTATTACTGGAGGATAAAAAAGTTAATGCTGAAAGGGAGGCATTGATATAAAAAATTATATAATCGCAGTTTGGTTTAAGGCCGTCAATAGGAAATACATCTGAAAATATTCCGTAAAAATCAATATAAAGTTGATATTATATAAATTAGTATGTTTTTTTTATTTAATGGGAATTCTACTATTGTATTTGCATGCCTGGGATCCCTTCTGAGGTCGGCTAAAGGGACTTCACTTTCATCAGATGTTTGTCACGTGACACGTTTAAAATTAGAAAAAAAGGTGTAGGACTACAAAGATCGTAAAGTTCAATGATCTACGAATAATTGTTAATTGAATAATTGTTTACCATCAAATTGATTGTGTTTCGTTTAGGACAAATTCCTTAACCCGAAAAGTGCTTTAAAATTATATAAATGTGCATTACTGCGGCTTCATATAAAGCCTAGTCGCTTAATTAAATAAGACTGGAAAATATTGATTACTGCATTCAAAAATATGACTTAATTTTAGTCAGATCAAGCCTGTTTAGTTTTGAGTTTCACATTTACAAGCTTCAATAATAGCTTCATCTACGTCTCAAGTAAAGCGAAACTGCGTGTCAAACAAGTCTATGATCGACGTCACCATAATCAGTACAGCGAGATCAAGATGGCTTTAATTTGTATTCAAATAGTTTTATAACGTAAACATAAGATATTTGCAATATTTATGAGAAATGAGTGTATGAAAAAGAATATAAGTATTTATTCGCTGAGATTCATTTACACAATTATACCATGACGTCATAATCGATTTCCCGAAGCTCTGCATACATTGAGGTACATAAGGGAGTCCTTAACCTAGCTGTTAAAATTTCTGCAATAGTAAAACTTTGAGCAAGTTTACATTCTTAATTTGAAATTCACTTGATATATTAGGATATATTCTTCAACCAAGAACTCAAAGAAAGATTAAAGTCACTAAATATTGTTGAAGGGCTTCAAATTTTGACATTTACTAGGCACAGAAGACCATTGAGCAGCGAGGGATCTTTATCATGCCAAGCCTTTCTGATCGAAAGGACACGTCTGCATCAAGAGCGTTAAAAATGAATAACTTTTGGAAAGCAGGATTTTCTGCAAGCCTACCGTTTGTTAGATTGATCCCCCACTAAACTTCCGAGGGATCAATCTCCTAAACAATCGGCATACAGGAAAACTTGTCAACCACAAGTTATTTCTTTTTAAGTGTCCTGATGCGGATTTATGATATTTATAGCCAAGATAAAAATGTTCAATTTTTGCACTGTAAATTTATAGCCCATTTGAGATATTATATACCAAACGGACTATTATATCCCATTTGGGCGATTGGTCCCAACCTGTTATATATTTTAAAAGCAGTTTACACAAAAATATATGAAAAATTTTATTTTCATGTCAGATTTTTTGAAACTTCAAAATTTTGAATGGGTCTGATTCACACATTCTTGCACTCTCACAAATTTGACTTTTCTTCTTAATATTAAGGAAATGTGGCATCCCTACCATTGACACTGGAAAGAAGAAATTTAATATTTGTAAAAAATTTTGTTATTTCCTTTCTGAATTCTTAATGTAAAACATATACATGTATGCAATTATTCACCGAAAGACATTTATTAGACGTTTATTAGAACGATCTAAAACCTGTAATTATAACTTAATGTCATGTCGACAACTGGAAATAAGTTCACAATGTGAAATTTGCCTACTGTGGTATGCAATGATCTTTGACCCTTTTTTAAAAATTTAAACTATTTGCATTTTGGTTTATTTTTGCCCAATCTATACCTTAACTTGTACTAACCGACTGTCTGACAACTTCTTGATTAGCCTAAGGTAATCTGGCTTGGAACACACTAATTATTCTAATGAGTTAAAAGGACAGTCAGAATGATATTGGTGACTCACAAGGGACACAGGGGCGCCTGTTATGGGCAGATGGGCGCACTGATTTGAGGGCGGGGTGCAGCGCCCCTCTATTTCCCCCTAGCTGGAACACTGAGTCATATATAACATGATAATGGGCGACAAGGACCCAAGGTGATGTAGAAATAAAAAAAAATGTTCGCATATGCAAGAACAAATTTTGAATTATAACAAACGATGTTTTAACATAACTTTGCCATCTAGGCCTATTTCAAAAATGTGTGTTTGTGTGTATGTGTATGGGGTTGTTTAGAGATTTGTTTGGGTTGGAATATCAAGGGTTATCTTTTGCTTGACCGAATACATACTAAAATTGGCACACTATGATAAATTTATCAAAAAAACTTTTTAGTAAAATATTATTTGTTATTGATAAAATAAATATAAAAAATTGCAGTTTTGGGCAAAACATTTATCAGAATCTAATTAACATCATTTAAATCTGTTATCTCAGACTTGTAATTAATTATGTATATGAAATACACAGGTTACATGGTCACCTGAGATTTTAATGCTCGTTTTGATGAAAACATGTACTGTGTAAAGTTTAGAATTATTTTGACTTTTTCCTCGGAAAGCCCTATATATAAAGGAATGTGTATTGAGAGGGAAACACTTTAGTTCAGGTATATATTACTGTCTCATGAGAGCATCTAGTTTTTTGAAGTCGCCAGTCCTAAAATAGCACCTATTCGTTCCGACAAATAATCGCATTTCGCCTTATAGCAGAATTCTATTTGTCAGCACGACCAAGTGCTGTTAAAGGATGAATTACCTACTAAAATACATTTTATTCTTAATTGAAAATATTTAAATTAGAATAGATAACAAACTTATTCAAAATTAAAATGAAAAATGCAGTTTAGTTCTATAAACATGAACTCATGCACCAGGGTGTTCATTTCATTCACATTCCAATCATTACAATTTTCCCGATTAAGCTTGTATATACAGTTGTTTTCCTTAATATCTTTAAATATTCTTGCAACTGTTTGTAATTCTTTTCATATAAAATGCAGTGTTGAATTTTCTTTTTATTTTCTATTTAGTTCTCGCTAGAGATTGTATGGATCTCCTGGATAACAATTACACATATACAGGAGTGTACGACATCTTTCCTTATGGTACGAGCTCTATTCCAGTCAGGGTGTTTTGTGACATGACTACAATGGGAGGGGGATGGACGGTGTGTTGTTTCTATTCTATTATGATATAATTTTATATAATTCCAATAATAACTTTATTAATTGATTCCATGTGTTTTAATTTTATATGAACATGGTTTGTAATTCAAGAGACCAGTAGGGGAAAGTACACACTTATAACACACTAAAAAGACAGGTGTTCATCACAATGATTTTAAATAAAATATACATTTTTAAAAAGGCAATTCAAAAGAGAAAAAACGGATCCTTGAGCTTTGACAGGAATTGGTCAGATTATAAGAATGGTTTTGGTGTCCCGGAACAGGATATCTGGATCGGTAAATATACATATAAAAATCCAGTCAAAAATTGGATGAATAATTATATTAAGAATAATAAAGCATAATCATTTGAAATGTCATTTCAACATTATAGTAATTGATTAATTCCAAATCTACCTTAAACAGGAAATGACGTGATCCATCAGCTCACAAAGAGAGCGGCCTCATCCCTCTATGTTTCTGTCAAACTAGATAATGGTACTGATCTGTACGAATTGTACGAAAGTTTCTCCATTTCAAGTGAAACAGACAAATACAAACTCTTTCTGGCGGGACCTGTCACGGGAACCTTAGGTACGTGACAGATACTGTGTGCCATACAAAGGAGAGAGAGAGAGAGAGAGAGAGATGAAATATATAATATAAAAACCATTTTTTAAAAATACTTTCCGGGACGACCCTTCTTCATTTCAAAGAAAAAGGCCATGAAGTAATGAAAACAAAGAAAAAGAGAAACTAGTAAACTAATTGTTCAGAGAACAATGAGACGTCTTTCCACCTTTTTAAGTGTTTCAATATCATTTGGGCTGAAAAAAGTAGAAAAAAAGCAAGAAAATAAATAAAACAGCAAAATTCTCATTTCTCTACTAGGATTTTAGATCGGGCTCGCAGTTGGTATACCCTATATATATACCCTAGACAGACTTCCTGGATTATACGAGTCGACTCGGGGATAACCACGATTTCATTGATCACGCAAAGAGAGCACATAAAAAACATTGTAACACGCTCCTAGGTGTATATATGAGCTTGAACAGGTCGGAGAGAATACTCGAAATCGGGTATTATCGTTGAAATCGCGTATAATACTCGATATAAGGGTATCGTTGAATCCGCGAAATCGGGTATTCCGTGCAACTTTCTATAAAAACTAAAGAATAAAGCAACGGCGCATTATGCCAGTAACTGTTACTTGTACATCAGTATCTTGTGGATTTATTTTTATTAAACCTAATTCATACGTTTGTCAAATAAGTTTAAAATCACACGACAAACACTGCTGGGGTAACAAAAAGGACACAATATAATTTCTAAAAACAAATAACTTCACTTCGTTTGTCTTTATTTCCCATTAAAGTATTCCATATACTTTATTTTCTAATTTGTGCACTATTCACAAAACGTTAAATTTTAAAGAAATTAAACGACTAACGCCGTGTTATGTATTTTTACTGAAAAATATATGGCGTCCCTTTCTCGTGAAATATAAATTACTCCTAACAGTTAGAGAGTACTGTATATAAGCGAGTCATAATTGTATATCTCTGCCATTATAGAATACCAACGTTATTATAAAAAAGAAAATAAAATAAGATGAAATAAATACCCACGGGAAAACAGTTTGAAAATAGCTAATTGAAGCTGAGTATCATTTTTATGTCAATTTAGCATGAAATTTTTATTTCAAAGACACCGTAAATTTTTTGGTTGCATTTTAATCGATACAAAATATACTATTTTACCTTTATTTTATGCATTTGTGTGAAAATTGAGAGTGGGAAGTCATATGAACAGGATTTTCGTGTTTTTTTTTTGTGGGGAGGGGGGTATAAATAAAAGTCAAATGTGTACATCTTTTCATAAAGTTAAAATATATTGAATTTCTCAATATAGATCGAGGTACAGTCATATTGATAAATGAATTACATAGTCAAATTTTCACATTTATTATACATTTTACGTTTATGAACATGTTAATGAACAATCTGAAATAATGGAGTGTTCAATTGCCTTGGAAACTCTTGTCCTACTTTTTGGGAATATAATTCCTCATTGGACATTAAAATTTCTTAAAAATCGTAGCCACTTCCTTTCTTTATCATAGGCGTCGGAACCAGGGGGGGGGGGGGCTAGGGGAGCTTAGCCCCCCTTTTTTCCCCAATATATACTTAGTAAAGACATTGAACCTTGTCACATAGGTTAAGCCCCCCCCCCCCCCCACTTTCCAAAGACACCTCGCAGTATAGGCTAAAAATGGGTAAAATTTTGGTGTTTGGAGAAAAAATTAGGTACTAAAGTTCGAACCTAAACCCCCCCCCTTTCCCTACGATTAAAAATATTTGACCGAGTTTAACCGACCGTGCCATTCAAAGAGAGGTCTCTTAGACAAATGTAGAACACAGTTGAGGTTGTTCTGTCAGAGGTGAACAAGAAGCCTTTAGCCCCCCCCCCCTTTTGAAGTCGCCAGAAAATGGTAAAATATTGATGACTTAGCGAAATCAAAAGATCAGCAGTTATGTTCTCTTATAAACTGTATTCCTGAAACTATCACTGTCTCGGCTAAAATTTTGAAGACATTTTCTGCAAATATGAATGATAAATAAAAAAGAAAAGATTTTTTTAAAAAGAGAAAGAGGGTTCTTTTAGCCGAAATTTTAGACATTTTTATCATTATATTATTTATACATTCAAAAATAAATTTGATTTTATGCACAAGATGAATGTGAAAGTAATTAATGAAGCATAATTAATGACGCCTAGATACAATAGACAATCCCTTGTTACATGGCATCATATCTGGTGTGTGAAATGTGTTTCCGTATAATTTGATTTATTTACAAATTGTTCATGTTTGTCGTGTTGATGTGGAATTATTATAAATTCCCGAATTCTGATACTTTACAATTCTGTTGTTTTGGGAATGAACATTAGGAAGATGCATATACTTTCAACATAAGGTAAAATATAAAGCAAATCGAACGCCTTTTTGTGTGCAGATCATGAAATGTACTGAGCTCCACGGGTATTTGTTGTCCCGAGCGCATTAATCTTGAAGCCCAAATTCTTACTTGGCTAGTGATACCTTAATAAAACATGTGTATCTAGATGAAAGTTAATCCGGCAACATGCGCCATCCCATTCTTTAAGTTTTATTAGGTGTTTACACCTACTATACCCGATTTCGCTGATTCAACGATACCCTAATATCGAGTATTATACGCGATTTCACGGATAATACCCGATTTCGACTATTCTCTCCGACCTGTTGAATGAGATTGTTTCCAAGTTAAGATGTAAGGGGTAGGGTCTGAGTAAAATTATGATATACCTATTAATATGAATAACATGCATTTGATCTGCGCATCAAGACGGAAGCGTAAGTGAAAACGTTGTGAAATGTCCCATGTGTACCTGCATCATATGTGCATTATACATGTATTAAAGAGATGTTTGAAAACATCCGATTTGAGTTGTTTTATGTTTGAAATGGATGGCGATAAATTATTTAAGAGCATGTGAGAAACATGAGCGAGAGATGCAAGGCAGTTTTGTAATTATGGAAAAGGAAAACAGAGAATCGGGTTCGGATTTTAACATTTCTGACCGAAATAGGCATGAAATTCGTTGTAAGTAGCATGAAAAAAATGCCAAACTTGTAATTCTAGATGGGAAACACAGGGAGGAAACGTGTATTTCTTTCTACTATGCTGAAAGTCGCCATTTCTTGGAATTGTGTTATTCTAGAAAAAAAAAATCAAATTTCAAACGAAACTAGTGCTAATTGTAACGGGAACCGTTACAGATGTTCCCCAAACGCTCCCCCAACTCCCTTTTCGTGCCATATTCCATGTAAGTTTCATTAAAGAAGGCAAAATCTATGCATTTAAGATGTAAACAACATTTTCCCAAAAGTATACGAAGTATCTCAAATTTAAGCAATGCAGGCGTGCGCATGTGATTGCATGAGCGTAATGACGATATTATCTTGTCTACACTATTTTACTCATTGCACGTGCACGTACGTGCATGATGACCATACCTTCTTGTAGGAGTCTATTATGTCTGTCTATGTTCTGAATTCCATACTGTTTGGTTGAAAAACAAGGGAGTTATAGCCATTTAAAGTTAAAGCCAATCAGATTGCAGCGCACGTGCATGCGCGTGTTTTCATGACAATTATTATAAATCATATTGTAGGACATCTTAAAGTATGCCAATGTTTTAAATTTCAAAGCATTTTGTAAAAAAAAAACAGAAAAGATATTGATATTTTTGTTTCAGCCAATCAGAGCAAAGCGCACATGCACGCACGTGCATGCATGTGAATGTTGACCATACCAACTTGTAGGAGTCCTTTATGTCTATCTATGTTCTAAATCCCATGCTGTTTGGTTGAAAATCAAGGGAATCATAGTCATTTAAAGTTTTAGCCAATCAGATTGCAGCGCACGTGCATGCGCGTGATTTTATGAAAAATTTTATAAATCATAATGTAGTACATCCTAATGCATGTCTATGTTATAAATTTCAAAGCATTTCATCATAAAACAAAAAAGATATTAAGATTTCTGCTTCAGCCAATCAGAGCAAAGCGCACGTGCATGCGCGTGAGTTCTTGCAAATTTGACCATGTCATCTTATCTACACAACTTATATATCTTTATATAATGAGTTTCAAAACATTTTATCAAAAAATATAAAAGTTACAACCATATTAAATATATCAGTCAGTTTACTCATTGCACGCGCCCGCACGTGCATGCGAATGCGCGCAAAATGACCTTCGTTCGGCACATCTACACAACATGCCTACTAACCCTAAAAAGGTTTTAACTTAGTTTGGTGAACAGTTTCTGAGAACACTTCCGGACAAAAAAGTACCGGAGAAGAAATAAGAAGAAAAAAGAATAATAATAATAATAACTAGTGCTAATTGTAACGGGGACCGTTACAGATGTTCCCCAAACGCTCCCCAACTCCCTTTTGGTGCCATATTCCCTGTAAGCTTCATTAAATAAGACAAACTCTATGCATCTGAGATTTTAACAACATTTACAAAGAAGTGTACAAAAATCATTTAAACTTTAGCATTTCACGCGTGCACATGTGAATGCATTTGCGTCATGACCTTATCATCTTGTCTGCACAATCTATATTTTAATACACTGAGTATTAAAGTATTTAATCCAAAATTATTAATAAAATACGCTCATTCAAGTGTATGTTTGATTTTACTCATTTCACGTGCACGCACGTGCATACATGAGCATGGTGACCATACCTTCTTGTAGAAGTCCATTACATCTATCTATGTTCTAAATTCCACCCCGTTTGGGTGAAAACTAAGAGAGTTATAGCTGTTTAAAGTTTCAGCCAATCAGATTGCAGCACTTGTACACACACGTGTATGTATGTGCATGGTGAGCATACCTACTTGTAGAAGTCCATTATATCTATCTATGTTCCAAATCCCGTCCTGTTTGGTTGAAAATCAAGGGAGATATAGCTGTTTAAAGTTTCAGCCAATCAGATTGCAGCGCACGTGCATGCACGTGTTTTCATGATAATTGCTTTATTTCAT